CAATTATTTAGAAAAGCAGTAGCTAAAAATATTAGTCTGCTAAGGAATTTTTCAACAGCTCTTCAGCATAGGCATACGAAACTCATAATGGATCATTACTTTTCCTACATTTCTTTGTATACATTATCAACTGTATTTTACCTTAGCTTCGCCAAATACTATGTAAGTATCTGACGCTGGATTCTTCAACACATCTGGTTTATTGATTACAAACAGAATGTTCTTTGATTTACGAATAGTTACTCTGTTAACTCCTTGAACCTACAAAAAATAATAGTTCAAACCGTTTATTCACTTATACTTTAAAAAGTATCCATTTCAATGTCATTCAACGTACAGGTTTCAAACCTAACTTGCTCATAAGCTTCCTGGCCTTTTTTTCTCCTCGACTCTGTTTTGCTTTAGAAACCACATCAATGGGAAGACCAGTGACAGTCGTACCTGGGAAACCCACGGTACCACCAGTTCCTGCATCGTCCAATTCTGGCATGGTATCATCTGAATCTGAATCAGTTCCAGATCCTGCAGCTGTCGCTTCGACCTTGGTAGGTTCAGAGCTTGCAGCTTTGTCGAGTTCAGTTAATTCCGGCATATTTGTCGAGCTGTAATTAAGAATTAAAAAATTATTTCTATTAAAAGAGGAACACATTTATAACATGCAAAATTTCCATAAAGGTTAACATCTCTCGTTTTCATGGATATCATACATTTTATAATACTAATGTAATAAAATTTATGCACTAAAAAGAGCGTTCTATAAAAGACGATCGCACGTGTTTAATACCGGGTTAAAAAAGTCCGCCCCACCTAGTATATCCACGAACGTATGGCTTTCAATAAACGTAACCAGTTTTATAAATATAATTGAAATATTTGTGAAATTGATGAATAGACTAAGAATTATTAATGCTTACACAATAATAAAACGAGACGAACAAACGCTTATAGTACAATAATTGCCAAGACAAATGGACGTTGTTATGGCGCCCACTGAAAGTAGTCGAAAACTACTGGCAAAAATGCGATCGACAGTTCCCCTTATTATTTATATTTATTTATCGCGATAAGTAAAAAAGCATTCGATAATCAGGTATAACACGTTTTCAGTCCATCTTCGCGCTCAGATACGTTCTTTTGTCCCGTTATTAAACACGATGGATTTCATGAACAAAGATCATCAGAGCATAAACATTTCACGCGTTCACCATTGACAATAAATTATTACACGCGATATGATTTATGAAAAGTGATAAGTTTATGATTTTTCTTTAATTATTCGTGCTGATTTACTATCAATAAAGAATGATGCCGAAAAAATCTTTAGATTTACCTCGAACGATAATCTGTAGGAGACCGAGCACTATTTTTACCATGTAAACTGAGACCGATTCACACGTGTGTGTGTCCAGACGAGCTGAACGGGCATAATTTTATACTTTTAGGAACGCGCGCTTGGCGCGAGGATAGCAAATGACATCAACAACTGCAGCATCTAAATTGTTTTAATTTTTTTAACAATTGTTAAACATCTTTCGATTTAGTCATTTCCTCTTTTGTTCACCTTGCTGCTATAAATAATTAAACATTAACGACGTAATATAAGATACAATAGAAGAAAGGTACTCTGTGTACATTCGATCTAAAAAATTTGTCCTATCTCCTGAATCCGTGTGTTCATGGCTATACGTGCATATACATCCGCATAAATAGGAAGTACAATCATATGTATGTATGTACAATACAAATGCTTCAATTACTATAGAGGAAATTTCGATATACGCTTTTATTGAAAAGTATATTTTTTTTAACAACCATTCAAACAGTTTTGTATAAAGACAACTTTTAAATTACATTACATTTTATATTAGACATTGTCCTTATTAAACACGCCTAGAAGTATAAGAATTCTGTTAACCATCACAATAAAAAACATTTTAAAAGACATGTTTTTTACTTTGCACTATTTTCCAAATAGCAAATATTAGTAGGACACAGAAAACACATTGTTATTATAATACTTAATAAGTTAAGAAAATTTTGTTAGGAAATAGATTAATGGAAAAAAATAAATACTTTCTTGTTATGTACCTCTATTTCTTAATATAAATTATGGATGTAAAAGGATCCACATTTTCTGCAATACAGAATAATAAAGAGGTACTTAATGTACCAATATCATGGTCGAGCATGAATCAGTTATAAAGTCCACAAAATAACATGTACTTAATACGAGAATAGACATAATTTGGTACACAAAATGTTAAAGCATAAAGAAACTAAATTACTTTCAAAAGGAAAAGTTATGACAGTTAAATACTAACGTTCACTACTGACGTGATAAGCGTGATGAGATATATTATTATCTACGGCTTGATAATTAATTTAAAATTCTTGAAAGAAATAAGTTTTTAATACATGTTAATGAAACTTCATAATTTCCTATATAACAGATCTCAACAAAGCACATACTCCTAAGGGAATTCAATTTCTATGCACAATATCCTGTCTAATGGTAAGTACTTGTGATTATTTAATATATATACATATTGTTGCATAAAAAATCACAAATACTTAGAGACGAGATTGTACAGCATATATATTAGTACACAATATTCTAAGTACTTGTGATTATTTTTTTTTGTGGTTGTAGTGATGTAAAATCTTAACAAGAATTAGACACGAACAATTTGGAATGATTCTTCATTCACGTATGAGAATACAATAGTTTCTGTAAATACTATATTACTATCTATTAGTGAAATATCAATATTTCTTGAAATTCCAGATTTTTCGAGTAATATAGTACTTACGTTCCTCCTATACTTCCATAACCCTATATACTACCATTATCAATTGCATTACACATCGTAACAAAAAGCTTCAAAATAGATTTTTGTTAAGAGAAGGATTCATCGATATCCATTTTTTCAACACTTTCCTCGCATTCGTGTATCTCTTTTTTTTCAGATTCTTCAGCTGATTCTTTAGATTCTTTTTCAGATTCTTTATCTGGCTCTGAAAATGTAATTATTAATGTAATAAAATGAAATTATGCTCATTATCAAAATGATATTAAATTTTGAATACCTTCGACATTCTCAACATGTGTTTCTTCAACTTGTGGAACCATGACTGGTTCTTCATTCACACATCCAGTTTCCTCGGATGATCCTGTTGGTCGCTCAACGACTTCAATATCTGAATCTAAAAGTCGTCGTTCATTCAATGTATTTTATTTTCTTAATTGCAAGACATATAACATATTTCTCTATCTTTATTCTCAAACCTGAATCTGACGGCGTTGCTGTCTTCTCTTGACTATCTTCCTCCAAATGTTCTTCACTTGGAGATGATTCATGCTCAGAAATAGTCATAGATTGACTATTGTAAGAAACATCTATTTTTGGAGTAAAAGGTTTCTGTTTCCTTGCAGGATTCCAAAAGTTGCAATAACAACATCTGAATCCTATAAAATAAAAATACATATGTATTAAATATTTAGTTGCGTAATTGAAACTTTATACTTAACTCTTTTTGGCAGATTATGACAAATGTTTACCAAAATACTCAAACTCCTCCTTCAGAGCCATTCCATTGTGAGATTCACAATGTCGACAAATTAGAGCATATCGATTTGATGGACCATCTCCGACCAAAACGTCAATTAATCGATCCAAATAACTTCTTTGCTGCGGTAATATCGGACGTGGTAGAGGTCTTTGACCTATTATTAAACGATAAATCTTTCTAATTTTCTAATCCAGTACTTTCTCTAATTTTAATAATTGCAATGCTAAAGTACTAACCCATAAAAGGAGAGTTCATTGGTCTGACAACACCTTGGAAAGGACTATGTTGGAGGCTGGGGGTACCTGCAGCCACAACGCTAGTATTAATTGGTGTAGCACTTTGCCTCATGACATTTACTGGCGGCCTTGGTACTATACGTCTTCTCAGATCCCCAGAAGGAAGTGCTGGAGATGTACCTTGTAATTTACTATATCCAACTGGTGTAAGATTTGGAGACGGTGAAACTCTAGTAATTGACTAAAATAAAAGTGTTAATTACTGTATCTTCCACTTATTTTATTTAATTTCCAAAATTAAAAATTCTTCTTATTATTATTATTATCCATAATTTTATTGAAGAGAAATGCA